CGTTCAAAATACCGCTTCTTGTACGAGTAAGCATATGTCTCTGAGAGACTCACATCTCACTTAGAGACTTGTATATACAGTTTTAGAATAAAATTTCACATTTTTATTCGAATCAGTCTATGTCTCAAAGTAACTCATACTTATCTTGGTGAGATATTAGCACCTCTATTAGGTTGAGTCACTGCGTCTCTACGAGCCTCATATAGCACCTAGAGACACATTGATACTGTCTTTAATTAAATAAATCATTATTTTCAATTAAAACACCACAAACACACGTCTCTATGTGACATATACCAATTATATAATGTTATATGTCTCTAGGTAACATATTAATACTACAATTCATAAAATTTAGCAAACTTGGATGTTGATTTTTTTAACCCACAACTGACATAAAACTGAAAAATTTTATGAAACTTGTAAAAATTTCCATAAAATTTTGATTTATGAAACTGGATTTATGAAGACAGGATAATCCGATTTTTCTAGTTATCTACTCGTTCGTTATTGTGCTAATAAGTCTATTAAACTTAATGTTTGAAACAACGTACTATAGCTTATTTTGTAGTCCTTTCAACTCTGCATTTTTCTAAATACAAACTATTCCTAATTTCTATTTCTGAAAGAAACTGTTATTATTTTTATATATCACTGTGAGTAAAAATCGAGATATCTATCCAGTGTTTAACCAATAAATCTATGAAGGCAAGCTTTTACAACAAAATATTGTAGTTCATTTTAAAGCCGAGACAATACTCTATCTTTCGATATATAAAACATTCCTGGTCTGAACAGATATGTGGAAGAAATATTCCATTAAAGTGTTAGGATCGGTGAAAATCATGATATCTGTCTAGTATTTTGACAATTGTTCTATGTGGGCATATGTTTGAGACGCTTGCCTATGGCTCGTTTTGAAGCGGAGAACATTTTCTATCTTTCTATGCATGAGCGTCGGTCATAGTCTTTGAAATCGTAGGAAAAATTTGAGAAACAAAGTGAATGCTCTTCATTGAACTGGTGACGAAAACTGGTAAGAAATAATTTTTTCAAGGAGATCATGAGCAATTTTTGAAAGTCAGAAGTGTTGGAAAGTGAAAAGGGAAGTTTTTCCGGTCATTCTTACTCAAAATCATTTTGGGCCACTTTCTAGCAGAAACCGTTTCCTGTCCTTTACACAGACTATCTACATCCTCTTTGTAGCAAAATAGCAAAGCGAAAGAAAAAGTTTCCACTCTTTTCTTTTAAATACACTTTACAGTCTAATCGCATTAATCCTTTCGTTTAGAAGCTAGACCATCAATAGCTTTGCCAACATTTTTCTTTTACTATTCACTAAGAATTATTTCTAATTGCAGTTAAACGAATCCTTCAAATATTTTCCACCTCCTAGCCGAACTAGTCAACACCAATTTGATTTTAAATTGAACTGAAATATCACAAAAAGGCGAGAAATTGCTCAACATCTTTCATCAACTATTATATCGTTCACCAACTGTAAGCAATATTAGTAGTATTTACGTACGTGTCAAGTAATAACATAAAAAGGTGACTAGGGAAGTGGTTTTTGGAAATACTTTAATTTTTTGACCAATTCTTAAGTAAAGCCCAAATTCAAAGGTCTCGTTTTACATGATTCAGATAGATAAAACATTTTTTATTACTATCGAGTGTGGTTTACTCTTTGAATCTGCATGAATGTGTCCGTCAATGATGAAACTCCGGTAAGGATTTTTGCCTTCATTCTATTTTAAGCGTTTTTTCTGCCTTTAGGAAATGTTCCAAACTAAAAAAAATTAGTGTTTTGTAGACAATTCGATGTTCTCTAAATCTGGACAGATAAAAAAACTGTGGAAAACCGGTTCCTCAGAAAACAGGTCTCGAAAGGCCTAATAGCAAGTGTTATGCTCGTCTTCGGAATCAGCATGATCGATAGCCTGTAGCGCACTGCGTTTCATTTAAAAAGCGATTTTATCAGTTGAAGAGGTTCTCTCGTTAGCTTTTTGTAGTCTATTTCGTTTTATCAGTCGCCATATAACTTTGCTCTAAAGTCTTCCTTCATAGACCGATTTATTGTTTTTACATCTGGTTACCAGAACCAGCATTTCTGTTGGCAAATAAACAGACAACAGTTTTTTACTGATCTTTTCTCGAATATTTTTCCAGCAAAATCTTAGGATTAAACGTTCTTCGCCTTAAACGGAAATGTAAGCCCTGTGAAGCGTGAGTGTTTTAAATATGTGGTTGGAAGAATGAAATAACCTTGAAAAAAAGCATAAAATGAAAAACACAAAGTTTGTTTTCTATCAAATGAAAAAACCTGTCAATTTCTCATCGAAGGCAGCAGTAAATGATTAAATCTATATTTACCATACCATTAAATCTGTACTTATTTCACTTAGGCTTGAAGTAAATAACAACTAGAGTAAAGAATTATCATCATGCAACGAGTCGCTGTATTATCAGTTGTTATTGTTCTTATGGGTGTTTTTGTTGTTAATGGTAATCCAACTTTAACAAGACCTAGTAATGATATCGCGGTTCCACAGGTTAGTTTATTGTAACCAGCAGATTTTCTGCTAATCTCTCCTTTGAAAGTCGACATGAACTTCAACAGATTCCTATGAGACCGATCTGTTCTAGCATTAAAAGTATTTAATAAGACACGTTGGCTGATTAAGTGCTCGTCTCTGATTACACCGTCGCTCGCGAAATTATACTGGTTGACTGGGTTAGTGGAATCTACAGCGGTTAACTCGCTTGTTTTCTGATTAACCTGAAGAAAGACAAAGAAGAGAAGTTCTCACCGTTCGGTAACCAAGATATTAGAGCATCTTTCTACGAGCAAGAACGTTTTGAGAAATATTTACCAACCAACATTCTAAGAAGTCTTTGGACAACCAAATCATATCCTGAAAAATTAATATAGAAATCTAGTAATATTTTCATGAATAAGTCCTCTGCAATATACGTCAGCCCATAAAATCAAAACGCCACTTATAAAAATTTTCCGTTCTTACAGAACAGGAAAGATTCTGAGTGAGCAGTTTTATAGAGCAGGCATTTCACAAAGTTTCATTCTTGTTTTTAGCAAAGTTAAAAGGTTGACTCGGAAAGCTCCATTTTCATAGTGCTCTTGGTTTATGTTAAGCCATCTAGAACGTTTTTACTGAGGTACACGGTTTTTAAAATTTAAAATCCGATTCTCAACAAATCTCCAGCATTTTTTGCGATAAGTTTATAATCGGATAATATTTCTCAAAAAGAGAAGAAGACATCTATGGTATAGACCAAAGTACTCTCAAAAACATTCTAGATCAATTAGTCAATGTTTTCGAGAAGCCACATATCAACAAAAACCGAGTTTTCTGAAAAATTTCTCCAAAATGAAAAAATAAAAAGTGCTCTAGAGCTAAGTATGAGCTCATTCACTGGTAAAAATTTCAGAGCTGTAAAATTTCCCATTTCAGTATAATCTTTAGCCCAAAAGAAAGATGTTATCCCAAAACATAAGTCTGTATCAATAACTTTCTCTTTTTTATTTCAAGTCATACTCTCCCCCTCTCCCTCTCCCTTTCCAAATCAATTAGAATATATATAAACAGAAAGAGAGGAGAGAGAAGTTATGATTCAATAGAATGGTATATTCTCGATTTGTTGACACATTAATTTTTTTCCTGACTCATCAACAGCATTTAGGGCGATGAAAGGTATCTGTGAGCCGCCGACACTATAAAGTGTCGGCGAATCAGGAAAATAAATTAACATGTCGACGAATTGGGACTGAACCAATAGAATGTATGATGCGAAACGAAGATAACAAAAGAAAACAATGATGTCACTCGAGATAATATAATGTATGCTAGAGGATAGGACTATATCCTTACATAAGATCAGATATCTTATCTAACAAGCACAGCAGGTACGAATACTTGTGAATACTTGATGTCGTGAAAGCATCAGAGTTGGAATTTGTTGAGCAAAATATGCGTTGATAGGCCTCATTCGACGCAGGTTTTGATGTTCTGTAAAGTGAAGCAAATTGAGTCTAATACAATCACAAAATTCTCAAAAACCTTTAAAATATCTTGAAAAGTACTTATACTTGTCATGTACAAGAAGTACTTTTGCGGTTATTTTGAGTTTTATGTGCGAATTAAAGCGTTAAGCAAAAGCTACTTATGGATCACTTTATAAAGCATCAAAACCTGCGTCAAACGCGGCTATAAATGCATATTTTGCTCAACAAATTAGAATGCTGTTTCTTTCACAACATCAAGTACTCACAAGTGCGCGTACCTGCTCTAGTAACAAGAGGGAATATCCTCAAACCACTACACCGTTCATATTCACAGTGTTTCATACATAAGGTGTTTAAAGGAAGGAATAATTGACATAGGAATAACCAGATATAATCTGGACATATATGTCCTGCTACTTTAGGAATATAATGATGAGTATTTTCTGTTTTATATTTTAGTTACGAAAAAGTCCCAATATGTTCCAGCAGGTATTTATTACAGCCGACGCATACAGTGTAGATCGTTTATGTCCGTCAATCTTTATATCTCTAGGCTTTAATTAATCAATTACTAAATCAGTTTGTTCCACTCGACGTACAAGCCGAAATTAAAGATGTTGCTGCTATATTTGGTTTCCAACGCAATGACTTTCTATTCGAATGTTTACAACAATTACAAAAATTAGAAAAATATGCAAAATATAATTTGGTTTCATTAATAAAAAAAGCTATTAAATTTGCTGAAGAGAAACTATCACGTGAACAACAAAAACAATTGGAACAATTGGAGCAGTCAGGTATTGAATTGGGTAAAATAATATTTTCAGGTAGAATAAAAGAAGAAGAACTAAACCAGTTGTATGATTTGGTAATGAAAGCCGTTCGAGATCAGATTGATGGTCAAGGATTTACTGATCAATTACCAAAACTAATCAATGGAATTTTACAACAACACATGTTAGATGACATCATCATTGGTTGATAAGTAACATTTTTGATCTGAATACTTGTTTTTGTTTGTAGTGGTTTGTAACAAGAGAAAATATTTCAATGAAATAAACGTAAAATATTTGTCGTTTTCTCGTTCCTTCCATTAACAAGACCAATGTATTGCGTTCCGCCATAAGCTCGGTACACTCACATGGGCTCGGTTGGAAAATCACAGCTCAGTTGATGCTTCCAAGAGAAAATTGAACAGTTCATTTAAAGCTATTTCCCTTTCTGTCGGTTAAAAAGCAGTTGGTAATACACACTGGCCAATATATTTTGAATTGTGATCCGTACACTTTATCTTTCACATATGGTATAGATCAACGCCATCTTATACTTTTACAGTAATTTATTTTTGATTCAGTCGTTACGCAGATAGCACAGACGAACTTTCTCATATAATTATCTATTATCTTCTTGATACAACATTTTTGATGTTTGGTTTCAACAATGGATCTCTATAATTGTCGAAATGACCAGATCATAATTCATTTTCTGGTCTCACTGTTATGTAATTTTCACTTGAAGAATCAAAGTATGCTTTTTTGCTCATATTTAAGTTTTAAAAATTAAACTTTTAGTGTCATTTAGAAATTTTTGTTCAAGGTGTCTTCATACAGTGTGTCATGCCAATAAACAAGATTAATACCAAGGTCTTCTTTATTATTTGGTAACGACTCATGTTCGTCTCAGTCATTGGACTTATTTGCACATTTATCCAATTGAGAATAACTAGACGACGCTAATTCATAACACTATGTGTAGTCATTAACAATCCCCTATGTAAATTAGTCGATTAGTATATAAGGGCTCATTTTTTTGAAATCGTTTTTAATATGGATGGAGATCTAATCCTGTTTATGTGTACACTATCTTTCGACGAGATGCTAATAAGCGAACTAGCAGCAGCCTCAATGCTTAAAAGTTTACATTTAAAAGAAAATTGAATGTCTCTCCCAGAGAGAGATAATTTTTGCCAAATTTTGTTTTTTCTGTTTCATTTTTAATATATAATACATAGCTATATCTAGTTTACGAAAAAGAATTTTTGTGTTCTTTCTCTAGGTAGTGTGTATCATAAGTTTTTCCGTTGTGTAAGAACCATTAGAGATAAGCCACGATTTGTTATCGTATAATGCTGCTCAATCGACTATCTCAGATTTTCTTCAAAGTAGAGAGCTTCTTTGGAGCAGACATTTCCATGGATTTTGACTAAAATGAAAGGACCTAAAGTTGTTGTGTTGCTGAGATATTCAATTCTTCCGGAAAGCCCCAAAAGATTATTATTCCGCCATCTTGAAAATGTATCAGCTTAAACTATGTGTAACTTCGTAATGGCATATGACTTAGACTAATCAACTTTGTCATAAATACTAGATAGTATGTAATATTAATTCACACAATCCCAAGCTTCGAACACGTTTTCGTTCTCTTACAGTAAATGATACCGTGAGAGCTAAAATCATCAATCTGTACATTCTGGAGGATATATTTTAAGAAAATATTAGTTTCGGAAAAAAACTGCCAGTGTTGAAGTAACGCTTTACTCAACGGGAAGATCTGCAGTTTTTCAATCCATCGAATGTCTGGTATCGAATGTCTGACTTTCTCAAACACTATTTTTGACTAAGAAATTTAATTGTGATGCATACGGCGATGCGTCTATTATTCTTACTTTATTAAGTGTCGATTAATCGAAATTAATTATGTTCATAGAAAGATCACATTTAAAATAAACACACCGAATTCAATCTCATCCGACACTTTTTCTCATCGCTGACTTTCACATCTGAGTTAAAACATGATCTACAGTCATATACGAAAAGCCTAACTTATAAAACAAGAGAAAAACACGGAGTAATGGTGCCGATTACCACTAATAACGAACAGTCCCAAAATGATGCGTCATGTCTGTAATTAATTTTTTCCAGCACAGATTTTATTGTCAAATCAAGTTTGTTGGGGCTCAAGTTGAAGTTCAGATTCAGGTATAAGTTCATAGTGGTTTCTGTACTAGGCAGTATCCCAGGTCGGTCAAAACGAATACCGTTTACGCGCCGTTTCACGGTAGTTAACGATGAAAAAAGGTGTATTTACGGCCGCAAACGGTCAGAATACTAGTAGTAAACGGAACGTATTTCACCGTATGATAGGGAACAGTTTTACGGTCCGTATTTTCTCCGTACCGTAAACGTGTCGTATATGATCGTTTGCGGTACTTTACGGTTCAAATACGATAACCTGTGAATACACCGTTTTTCAATCGTTTATTGCTGTTTACGGACCGTTATGTCCGACCTGGGTAGGAACGCCAGGTCGTCGAAAGCGTTACCGTTAACGGGTCGTTTTTAGGCCTTTTTCAGGACATATTTCAAGTTTCATTATTTTTGATCATGAACTGAAAAATATTATGTTCTGAATATTTTCAATTTTTTGGATACGTTTGAACCATGGTTTACCAGTCTCAGAGGTATGGTATTATCACTAGTACTGGGTACGTCTAATAAGGCTACTCCCTTCACACAAACTTCGATGACTTATATACTAGAGGAAGAGAAAAATTTCGAAGTTATAAACTCGATATATATTCGAAGAAAATCAGCGTTCCATTTATACTAGTAGCAGAAGCGAAATAAAGAGGTGAATGACTTGTC